AAACATTTTTCATTTATTCTATAATCATTTTGATGAAATATTTTTTAAAGCTACATTATGCTATCGAAAATTTAAGTTGATTCAGTGAAGAATTAGTTTATCTACTCTAATGTCCACTTCAGTTTTGCGTTAATATTTCTACATCCGAAAAGTCATCCTAAAAAGGAGTCACTTGCATGGGAGTAAACCTGGATTTTGTTTCCAACTCCGAATGACTCTTTACTAGTCAATACTGATAATTACTGTTGCAGTTACCAAAATAAAAGAACCTTTTATTTGAACTACTAAATAAATAAAAATATGTCGAAACAAAAAACAAATAAAATTTTATTGCTTAATTTAACGAAAAAAAACGCACCTTGTGAGAAAAAGCTTCAACTGAAGGAAGAAAAGAATGTTCTACTAATTCTTTCAAAAAAAATAAATAAACGTTAAACACCAATGCAATAGGTCCATTTTTAATTTCATGCTTTTTGCCAACCTGGTTAAATATGACTCGTCAATCTTCAACAGCAAATTAAATTCTATTCTTTGAAAATAATCGTCTGCTACTATGTCAATCTTCAACAATTACTCTTTTGTCTTGAATTGGACATTACAGTTAATACAAATTATTTTTAGTCCAGCTTTCACACCCTGTTACCTTTCTCTGCCTCGCGGGGCAAAACCGGTTATACTATCGGCGGCTCTCTCCACGTCTATGTCAACGGAGGAGGGCTGAACAAAGGACAAAATTTATGGTGGGTTTCAAGGCATTATTTTCATATATTCTAGAACACCCCTTAAACAAAATGGCAGTTGTTATATAGATATAAGGAATTACATTAATAAACACTATATTTTCGTAAAGAATTTTGTATCGTTTTAGGTTATATTTTTAATAGNGGGGGGGGGGGTACAGATCACCACTCTTTTCCTCTTCCCTTCTCTCGCCTCATCCCCCCCCCTTTTAGTACAAACTTAAATACTTAAGAAATAGAAAAAGACACGTTTAAAAGCTAAAACGACAGGGAGCCATTAAGTAACCGCAAACAATCACTCAAGGATATGTTAGAAGACATAAAAAGTGTGAGAATTTGTCTGTAGGCTATCGGACCAGTCATAAAAACTTTGTCGGCAGAACTGCCCCTCTCTCCCCAAAAACTCGAAAGAATCATTTTGGATGGAACTTCTTCGATAAATACTGCCCAAAACTCGAAATCGAATTTTAAGTTTATAAAATGTCGCTCTCCAGTCTATTTTTGAACTTAGCTAACCATTCAATTCATTCATTTCGCCTTCTTATAATTTATCGGTGGCTGTTAAGAAATTCTTTTTTTTTATTTCACAAATAAGAATAGTTTTTTGGGTTAGCGAGCGCGAGAGAAATACTTTATTGAGTACGCCACTGGAAGTGAACCAAATGAATCAGTCCCTGTTTTAGTCGATTCATTTAATAGCTATTCAAATGTAATTAGGTATTTCTAAAAAGTTCATTCATATACAAAGTTTAATTTGAAGTTGAATGAAAGGAACATTTAATAATTTATATATTTTCAATACAAATACATAATATAAATCAATGAACTCTTAGCGTTTTCTTTAGACTCATCATGAGAATGAGCAAAAATGTTAAAGCATTTCAATTGAATGCAGCCTTTTAATATACGTTGAAGGAAGGATTATATCACACTGCAATAAGTGAAATGATGTGAAAACTGCTTAAGAGTTCGTTTTTCTGAAGAGGGGCAAAATTATTTGAAGTCAATTTTAAATGAATCCATTATTCATTTTCTTTTAAAAACAAATATCTATTTTCATTCGAATAAATACATGGTTCAACTCGAATGGAATCGGTTGTTAAATTCATTTAAAGACTCGTGAGGTGGTTTTTTTTCGGGCTGTTTCTTTCGGTGCTTTTTTTTGGGGGGGGGGGGATCTACCCTGAAATTTGCTATCTAAGAATGGCAAACAAACCTGTAAGAAACCGTAAATGTTTTGTTTTTTTAATTTTCCGAATTAGTAAAATGCATATTCGATGAGGGGAAAAAAATTATGCCTGCATTGAATAAAAACAAGATTTAAAAAAAAAAGTACTCTTAAATATGTCATTTCCCCCCCCCCCCCCCNTCCCCCCCCCCCCCACTTTCGTGATAGTGTAAAGAACCTTTCCTTAATCGTCTCTCTTAAAATCATCTTCTGACACTTTCCACGTTAATTGAATTGTCTGGAAGTGGTGCTCTGATAAAAAAAGAGATTATTTCATTCGCTTCGTCATTCACTTCTTTTGATGCGCATCCGAAACGAATGAATGCCAGATTATAACACTTTCAATAATGTCACCCATCCTTGAAAAGTCTGACGCCCGCACGAAACACGATGCACTCATCATTAGGAAAACAAAAAAAATATTTCTCCCGTAGTCCAGTGAAAATATTTCTTTTGGTCAGCATCGATCTATGGATCTTTTCTTTTCTTTTTTGAATGACACTCGAAATGACCAGATGAATGGACAGAGAATCTATTTTTATGAATCAAATTCCACGAATATTTTAAGGTGTGAGTCAAATTTTCCTTGTTGAAAAAAAAGGTTAAAAAAAAAATCTTTTCCTTTGGAATTAAGCAAAAATTTAGATGACGATCATTTTTGGATCATTTTAAGCTTCTTTTTATTTACTTATTTATTTTTTATGGAAACATTGTGTTTCGAAATTTCTGTGTCATTTTGGATATTTGGATATTTTACGACACTTTTACAAAAATGTCACCCCCTCCTGTTATCTAAGAATTCCTGTTATCTTTTATATCAGGGGTTTCCAACTGACACGTGGCCGGGGACCGCAATCAAAATCACCAGTCAAATGACGGGCCCGCAACTTTATCAAAATTTTATATAGGACTCTTTAAAGTTTGAAGGAACATTAAATATGAATGTCAGATTTTTATCAAGTTGTACAAAACAAAAGTATTGAATTACAAATTAAAATAAGTAGATGTTTAAAAATATTTTATAGCATATTAAAAAATTCTGGCTACAATAACTTTAATGTGCACCTATGAATTAAACAATTCATGTGCAACAGATATCAAATTGTTAAGATATTGATTGGTATGTTAAATTTCACAGAAACGAAGAAATTAGGTTTCTCTAAACGAAAGAAAAGTATTTCAAACCCATATAGATTTTTTACGACAGTTGTCTGAAAAAAAAATGACAACTAATATATTTTAGTTCACAGGAAACAAAAAAGGCTTCGTCAACCGAAATAGAAATGAATCATTTCTGTGATTCATTGGTAATAATAAAAAAGTTGAATAAATGAATAGAAAAATGAATTCAAAATATGAATTTAGATTTTTTATGTATCTTTTCAATGTGACAATTTATGTGTGTTATAAAGACATTCTGTTTTTAAGTTTCGACCCGTGGAGTGTCATGAAAAAAAAATGGCCGTCATGGGTGACAAACAGTTCTTAAATTTATTTTGCAAAAGCACTAAAAATACATATTTAACAAATACGCGTTAAGAATTCTTTTTCAATCGACGTTATAAATTGAGACATGTTCAAAAATCATACATATTGACCAGACATATTCTTCATCAGCAAAAAAGATATTTAAAAAAATAAGAATGAAATTTGCTTCAATCTGTCGTTATTATCATGATGACAGAGTTACATTCATCTAACTCATTTTTGTCATTTAAGCTACTTTTTATTCTAAAACTTTTATTAAAATAATCATAAAAACGCGAGTAGTGATCATCACGAAAAACGAGAATGGGAGTGAGTTACAATTTTATAAGGTTTTCATTTTATATTTTTAAAACATATTTTACGCAAATATGTATCTAGTCAGCGACTAAAATGGTTATTACAGAATAAGTATTGCAAATAATAAGGGAATAAAAAATGAAACATCGAAAGAAAAATAATTTTAAAACTCAAAATGTGCAAATAAAGGGTATCTGAAGAAAACGATTGAATGATCCAATGAAATAGGGTTTCATTTTATAACGAATCTATCGTTTCTCTTTCCTCACTGCTGCTTCACAAGAATTATTCAAATTATAAAACAAAGGAATGGATCACGTGATACGCCAAGCACGCACGTTTTTTTAAAATAAAAAGACACTAAAGGAACACATTCTTCTGTTTTAATACTTTCTTGGAATACATTATTAGACCCACTCTAAGATTATGATTATCAGGTAATACTATGAAGCTGTATTGTTTTTACACGGATGAAACCGGTTTACATTTGTTTACGCTCCTGTATCAATGGGTTAACATTGAAATGCAATACGTTAAAAATAAATACAAATGGGAAGTGCATGAAAAATATCCTGTATAAAAACCCATTACATATATGTTCAAATATTAAAGTATTGGCTATAAACTCGTGCTGCAAAACATGTCAATGTTACAAAACTATAGTGGGTCTAATAGTTTGATCTAATTATTATAGCATACTAATATAATACCTGATATAAAAAATATTCTATATTTATATAATATATCGTCTTATTTAACCCATCGATACACGAACGTAAACAAGTACAAACCGGTTTCATCCGAGTATAAAACAATAAATCTGATCATTACGATTTCACATAGAATCTTAGAGTGCGTTTCATCATTTGGCCAGGGAGTGTATACATATTTTTAATAATATACTTTTTATTGATTAGGAAATCATGATGAAGCTCTCTCATAAAGAAGAATATTAGAAAGACTGAAAAGATCTATAATAAAACTTGTAGAAGCAGTGGAGGGAAACATTGGGTCATTTAAAATGCAAAATGTATGCAGAGATGAATCATTTCCAACTGTGAGAAAACAAAGAAAGAACAAGCATTCCAACAGAGAATCTCTTTGCCGAACGATTTACTTGACAGAGAAAGGAAAGAACTCATCCGTACATTATTTAATATACATTGTATTCATTTTTTTTCGACTCGTCTTGAATTAAAGGGAAAGAAAAATGATACATCCATGAAAGGAATGAAAAAAGTAAATACCTTTTCTGTTTTTGTCCTCTTTCAGATCTTCCTTGATGGGTGACAATTTCCTCATCTCTTCTGCGGCGGGGTTGTTTCCACCTTGCCTCACCCTATTCAACCTCAAGTCGAATTTGCTCTTCTCCAAATCATCCTCCAGTAAACACAAATCTGAAGTTCGAAGACCCTGCTGCATCATCAACACAAATAAAAATACTCCGAGAATTCAACTGACGGATTTTCCCTCAGCACTACTCACGAGATGATTATGAAAACTCCCCTCCCACACACGCACACACCAAACTCCGCCCACCTTCTTCATTTTGGCGCGGCATTTGGCGAAAAAATGGCAGATTGGGTGAGACTCCTATTTTTGCTATGAGGTAGCTATAATGAAATGAATCGGTCCTTGAAATGGAATTCTTTAATAAACGAATCTTGATTTTATGAATAGAAATTCCAACCAATGCATGTTAAGTAAAATTGACTTTATTCACTTTGGGAAGAAAAAATATTACATTCAGAAGGAAAAAAAATTGAGGAATGGATTAATTTTTTAATGAACATATTTTAAATGTCAATGTTTTTTAGCTATAAATTATTATTATTTTTTGAAAACTAATCATTAACTGAAATTGTTAAATAAAAATGTTTTTTAGCAGGTAGATTGTGAATCATGATAATCATGATGATAATCATGTGAATCATGATCTCTCTTTTAAATCGTACCATTTATATCGCAGTAGGGAGAAGGTAGGTGAAATTTTATCGGATTTAAATATTATTTTAAAACTTTTTTAATTTCACACTTGGGGAAGAATTTTTTTTCCTTCTTCTAAAGGATTTTTTTCTCAGGCTCTCACCAGAGAGAATCAATTAGAATTTTTAGAACAGTTTTACGATGAACTACTTGAAATCTATAAAAATGTTCTGCATAGTACACAATTTATATAATACATATACACACACCCGTACGGTCGCTGAAAAAGATAATTACAAAGTGGTAGTAAATGAACAAGTAAAGTTGGAAAGATTTTTTATCGATTAAATAAATTAAACATTGAAGAGCTAAGTTAGCTAACAATTTACATATTTTTTAATTATTGATGTGTCGCTGCAGGTTGAATTTTTTTTTTTTGTAACTTTAACTTGAAGATTTAATACGAGAAACTGCTATAATGTTGTTACTGATTTCATTTTGAATCCAATCTAAAAGACAAGAACTTTTTGGAGCACTGATGAAACTAATCCACGTCACCATACCCTAGAGCTATTGAATGTAGGGGGTGTAGTGGCACAAAATCCAAAAGAGAACATCCTGTTCAAAACGCACACTTTAATTGTCGTACAACTGATAAAATAATATAACAGAATCAGATAAAAGATATCCCAGTGCAATTGGATCTCACTGTGAGGAGAGCAGGGAGTTGAATTTTTATCTACTCCAAAGCACTGGAATTCGAACCTAGGTCACTTCATCGAGTCCTCTACTCCTTGAGGGTCTCTCTCAACCCGTGACACTTTTTCTTAATGTGAAAACATTTCTTCATAAATTTACAATTAAATCGTTTTTATATTAACTATATATTATTAATTTATAATTTTAAAGTCTTATTTATTTATTGTCGCGCATTCAGTTTTAAATGATATACATGTGAGAGAGTTCAACATGCTTTCAAGACTCTTAATTGTTAGATTTTAGCACTGTACTCAATAGTTTGCTGCAAACTACTTATTTCTTGTCAATTTTAAAGCACACGGAAATATTTTTACTCCTCCATTTCATCCAGCTAATAAAGATTTTAATTTAAAACTACTCATTACGGTTCTAGTTCAGACTTGGTTTTAAAAATGGTTTTAAACAATGAGTTTTCGTTCGCTCAATCTATGTTATGCAGAAAAGTGGAGGAGAACAAAAAAAAGAAATAAAAACAATAAAAAAAAAAAAAAAATTCAACCGGTTTATCAATTCTTGAGTCATTATTGAACAATAATATCGATAGATAGATTCTCTTATACATGTTGTAGAGATTGCAAAAACGGCAAATTTTGTGTCCTGATTTCAACCAAAGAGTTAACGATAGACAAGTACTACAGTGAATATAAAAATAAAGGAAACGGCCTGAATAGCCTTACTTCTAATGATCGGATTTTCATCGACTATAACTCAATCTTAATCCTTCGAGGGTTGACCNGCTTGACTTCGGTGATCTGCTGCGAACCGTGTCTTAATGATCAGTCCACTGCGGGACCTTAATCCTTCGAGGGGTGACCTCAAATATGTAAATTAGTCAGTGCAGATCATGTTTTACGTTAGAAAATAAGACATATAAACACACTTTTTCTGAATAAACATGTTTTTTTTCGACGGATTAGGATTTCTGACCCCCCGCCAGAAAAAAAAATACTGATATAGGGGGGGAGTCACAATCTGGGAAATATAATTATAATAGTTTGGATCCCTTAATCTTTATTTAACTTTTTGTGCATTTCACTATAATATCCCTTAGAACTTTTTAAGCGAACTGATTTTTTTTTTACACAATTATAAAGTTTGTTTATCTAAAAAAAATTAAGAACAAACAATAACTTTTAATAATTGCTCGTCGTATTTTACTATTGCATTTAATAATGAACAAAAGAAAAATGTTCGATTTAAAAAGGTATGAAAATTTTTGCATCCTTTTAGATAATGTAATTTTAACGCCAATTTTATTAATATAATATAATTAAATATAATCTAATTAGATATAATATAATAAAACAAAAGATAATTAAAATAATGCAAAATAAAAAAGTTGAACGACATCAATCGAATAGCTCCAGAGAAATCGATTTTTAAATTTCTCTAAAACACATTATTTTGTACAGAATTATCTTAGGAAAACTGAATTTCATAATTGCGTGCGAAAATGTTTCGATTAGCTTAAAAAGTTCTCGAGTTAATCTGAAATACGCAAAAAGTAAAATTATCATTTAAGAGGTTCAAACTTTGGATCGCACTCCAAACTATTGGGACCCTATTTTTTCCTGATTGCGGCTTGTCTCGGGGATCAGAAATCCAAATTCCTTGAAAAAAATATGCGTTTATAAAGAGAAAGAAGAATATATTTTTCTACTTTTTAGAACAGTTCAGACGCATAGTTCTGAAATTGTTATCTCGAAAACTCGCTATCTCGAAAATTAGAAATTTTCTTAGCGTCTCTTCAACTTAGAGATATTAAGAGTACACCGTATATTGATTTATTTACAATATTTCAGTCTTTATTATATATATATNTTGTATCAAAAGTAATACTGCAGTGCAAGTGCTTTTAACAGTTTTATATATATATATATATATATATAAATAAAATAACAGAACGAATTCTGAGCGATTACCCATGTGATCAAATTGCTTCACGATCAGCCAGTTAGAAGCATTGTCGGAAAGTTCCATGCATAATTTTGTGTATTTTAAACTACATTCGATAAGGTCCAAAAAATACAAATATTTCTAACATTTCTGTTAAGTATTAAACATCTCTGTCAGAACTTATTCGTATTCGACAGAAATCCTTATTGAAATGGCGTCTCAAATTCATTTTCGTATAGTATATTTGCTTTATACTATTTTGCTTTATTTTTTTTTATCACTTTATTGAGAATAGTTTTTTCCTTTCACAAATTTAAGTCGACTTGAATTAAAAAGTTGCAATAAGAGTTCATTTGGAATAATAATCAAAACCGATGAAAGTAACTACCTTTATGTTAGGTATATTAAACAGGGTCCGCTCTTCCTATTATTTCTTCTCAGTTAAAGTCATAATAAACAGTTACTCTCAATAATAAACGTTAAAAAGTTTTTGACCTGTGGTGTCTTTACTGCATCTTGCTCGATGTCTCTGCCGGGCGATAAGTTAGCCAAACTGTTGTCATGCCCTTCAATGATTGGCTTGTTACAGGTGTGCCTCCATTGGACGATGCGTGACTCCGCCTACCGACTCTCTTCTGGCGACCGAATGACTGGAAGATGCCTATTAATGGTCGATGGAAGATAATAACATTCAATTTATCCGGATTGCTTTTAATTTATCTTGGGAGAAGTGAATCAATCATAGGAGACAAAGAATGATCAACTTAATGTACGGTCAGATAATAAGGAAATGATTGGGTCAATGGCGTCTGGGAAAAAAAAAAGAGAAACAATACAGCTTATGAATATAGGTGATTCATTATTTAATACTTAGAAGAATTTAAACATTTTAGGATCATTTCATTTTATCCGATTCTTTTAAGAGGAAGACGGGTTGTTAATGGGGGGTGTTTTGGAATTCATGAAGAATGCATAATTTTTTCTTAAAAAATTTCTTTAATGTATCAAAAACTTAACTTCTGAATTTTTAACACATCAGCGGAAATACTATTTAAATTTAAACGCTGTTCGAGCTAAAATAATTAAAGTCTTGATAAGCCATAAAAAATAGGGTTAATGATTTGAATAGGCCAATTCCCAATTGGCAAGTATAATCACTTTAAAAATCTATTTCTAAAAACTTTCTTTACTTTCAGCTTCATGCACGAAGTGATGAATGCAAAATTTGTATTTAAGATAAGCAAAACTATTAATTTACAGTCTCACCAAATTTGTTACAAGACTTAAGAAAATGATTCACGTTCACTAATAGGTCTTAATAGCATCATAGAGGAAATATTTGGACGTGGAGTTACTCTTTTTAGTACATATATGTATTAATAGTAGAATAATTTCAGCTGTTGCATGCCAAGGAACAGCAATCATTGGGGTTGGTAAGCGAGCAGGGGGCATTAGTATGGAATTAGAAAAATTAATTTTAAGGAAAGATTTTTTTCCCCACTTTATACTACAGTCGAACTCGTTTATAACGAGCACAAAGGGACCGTAACATGTACTCGTTAAATCCGAGTGCTCGTAATAAACGGGTCCTTAAGACAGGCGTGCAATCAGAAGAGGGATGTCAAAATATCAGGGAGGTCAAATGATTGAGTTTACTTAAAATTTAATTAATACTTACTTACTTTAATTACATTAATTAATTTAATTAAATACTTTTCTTAATTTAATGACAACTAACCCCCTTCCCACGTATTTCTTTATCATTTTGAAAAAAAAATAAGACAGAAAGACTAGAAAGATGAGAAAGAAGATTGCAAGACAGAAAAATATTGCTCGCTAAAACCGGGTCTTGCTCGTTAAAAGCGACTTCTGTTCCATAGACTTAACATTGATCCAACCAAAAATTCTCATTTCCCTCGGTAAATCCGAGTTCTCGTTAAATCCGAGCTCGTTAT